AACTCATTTACTTTTGAACATACATATTTATTGCAGATTCTGTATAATAAACGTGAGAAAAAAATATTGTGGCTTTCAGCTGTCATGTCACAATATGTATAACTATTTTGAAGCATCTGCATGTTGTTGGGGACACGCGGAGGAACAGCTGTTTAAGCCACTATGCTACAAGCGGCTTCAAGTCCCGATGAGATGCATTTCTTCAACTGACCTAATCCTTCCAGCCGCACTATGGCCCTGGGGTAGACTCAGCCTCTAACAAAAATGAGTACCAGGAATCATCTTGGGGGCCGGCGTGTAAAGCTGACAACCGCCATCTGTGAGCCGATTATCTAGACAAAATGTGGCAGCCTTGAAGTCTCTCAATCCTATGGGTCTTCACGGACTGTTACAGGGATAGCTTTACATTTACAATTATCTATATGCTGTTAGTCACTTAATAAGATCTGGGATGACTCAGTATGCTTGATATTTTTCATATCAAAATTAATTTCTGGTGCAAGATTTTTTATTCAGCTGGTAATGGTAGGGTATGATGACATATAAGGACTGTTAAATTTATGTAGGATGGAGTATGAATATGAGGGATGAGCCATAAAACTGGCCCTAGCACTGCGACCTTCAGTGGTCTATTGTGCTTTATGTAGGATGGAACTTCTTGAGCAGCTAAATATTGAATGTTCAGGCAAAGATATTGAAAAGGGGTTCAGTTACCAGGAAGTCATTTCAAATTAGCATTTTAATAAGCTTATACTGCTCTGAAGAGAACTGTGCATAACTTACTTACTTACTTACTCATGGAGCTGAGCCCTTCTGGAGGAGCCGCCAATTCTGCAGCTACTCAAGAATTTCCCAGCATTTTATGGAACCTGAAGGTTCATTACCGTGTTCACAAGAGCCCTCCACTGGTCCCTATCCTGAGCCAGATCTATCCAGTCCATACCACCCCATCCTATCTCTCTAAGATCCACTCTAATATTGTCCACCCACCTACGCCTTGATCTTCCCTGTGGTCTCTTTCCTTCTGGCTTTCCACCAATATCCTAGACGCATTCCTTGTCTCCCCATTCATGCTACATGACCTGTCCACCTCATCCTCCTTGACTTGATCATTCTAATTAAATATACTTGGAGAAAAGTACAAGTTATGAAGCTCCTCATTATGCAGTTTTCTCCAACCTCTTGTAACTTCATCTCTCTTCGGTCCAAATATTCTCCTCAACATCCTGTTCTCAAACACCCTCAGTCTATGTTCCTACCTTAATGTCAGAGACCAAGTTCACACCCATACAGAACCACAGGCAAAATTATAGTTTTGTATATTCTAATTTTTATGTTCTTGGACAACAGACGAGAAGACAACAGGTTCTGGACTGAATGATAGCAAGCATTACCCGAGTTCAATCGCCTCTTAATTTCCTCCTGAATCAGGTTTCGATCTGTTATCATTGTTCCCAAGTATCTGATCTGTACCACATTTTCATAACATCTGTTTCCTATCTTTATGTCTTGATTTTGCCCTGCATTTTGGTGATGAGACAGTAACATGTACTTAGTTTTCTCTGTGTTTACTTCTAGACCAACCTCTTTACTTGCATCAGCTAAAGTTTGTGTGTTTTTCTTTATGGTATTTACATTATCACCCAGTAGATTCACATCATCGGCACAGACCAACAGCTGACTGCGCATAACTGGAACTGCTAATTTAAAATTTACAGATGTACACACAACATTAATGATAACATAGGAGCGAGAAAATATAAGTAAGTACATTTACTTGCTCAAAATCTCAAAATGTTACTTGATTAAGCACTGTTTAACATTTTTGGAATATCTTGCCAAAATTTTCCATCTCTATACTGATGAAAATACATAACTGATACTTGTGTTAGGCAATGCAGGGCGTCATTAACTCCAAACGAGAATCCCACAGCTTGTTTGTTGGGTTTCAAAATACTTTCAAAGTTTTATCATGTCCTTTCATTCATCCAAAAGGAATATTGTATAAAATCACGTGAAGATATTTTTATTTTTCAGTTGCCTCATTTTCTATAACCACATTAGTAGCAGCTCATATTGAAAAATGAGACCCACGACATATATGTTACATGACTGTTAATGTACGTAAGACCCGTTCCTCTGGATGTGTAGACGTGGTCTACTGTAATTAAGGTCCCAAAAACTTTCAGTACATATCCATTACGAATTAATACAAAATAACTAAAAAACACGAAAAAAAAACAGACTGTGCAATTATAACTGTACATTATGCTGCAAGACTCCTGTGAGCTGGAATATTGCGGCAAGAAGACACAATAATTGCTATACAATGGCTAAGGTAAATACGTGGAAGGGATGCGCGTGCAGAGGTATGACACAACAGAGCCGGTAGAGTGTAGCGAGAAGACATGACTGTTGCTATGCAACAGCTAGGTAAACATGTGGAACAGATGCGTGCGCAAGCACTGTTGGAAGGAGCGTTTTCTGCTTGTCCAATCAGAGGATATATGCCGAGAACCAACAGGGCAAATTATTATACTGCGTTCAGTTGTGAGAGTGTCTCCAGCTGGCATGGCTGTTCGCACGGAAGCAGTAGAATCTCAACTGTGAGACGCTACTATAAATAACGAATAGTGAGGCAGGCAGAAGTCCTTGTAGCAGTTTATTAAGGATATCTTCCATCAGCTGAGGGGCCAGAACATCACAGACAAAGAAAACTTGGATCCCTAATATACACCAACTAGGAAATGATGGAGATCAATAAAGAGAAGATTCAAGCTGTGAAAGGGTCAATGCAAATGGTGTTTGATAAACTGTTCAAGGCTAATTTAATACTGACCCAGGAGTTGGAGGTGAAGTTAGAAGCACTGAAGATTGCCACTGATCTTTTGATAACAGCTGATGAGAAGGTGAAGAAACTCGAATCAGTAGTAAGAGAACAGAAGGATGAGATAGAGCAGCTACTGGTCAAAACTGACGTGATTGTGAACATTCCTGGATTATAATGCTAATAGTTCACAGCCTCCAGAAGCACCTGATAAAACACATAAACTAGAATATCAACTCGATGAGAATATAAATAACAAAACTGAAGAATAAGCTAACAATCTACAGACTGTGAGAAAACCCACATTTAAGGGGAATGCCAAATTATAACATCTTAGCTGACATGGAAGAGAACTCAAATGCACAGGAACAAGGGGAAACAGAAGTTGGCCTGAATGATGCTCTTATCAAAAAAAAAATGATCAGATAAATACAGAGGCATGTTTCAATAGTCAAGCACACCCACAGCCCCGAGTAGAACAGAAGTCAGTGCATTCAAAGTGCACTCCTGAAGTAAACAGTACAGAGACCACATGCGCCTCCAGCCAGCTCCAATCCTCTGTTAAGAAGCAAATCAGGAAAACGACCATACTCCTCCCAGAAACAAAAGATGAAAAACCAAAGCTAGTCATTGCGAAAGATAAGCTGTGTGCAGAAGTATCAAGCATGGGTGAGCTGTGGAAGGCTGGAAGGCAGTCACAGGAAGATATTCTGAGCAGCTGGATTTGGGTTCTGAATCTCTGACAGAGCTCTTCCACCAAACGACATGTTACCTTGGCCCACAGCAGCCGCAGCGCAGACTCTGACTCTCAAGAAGACACGAAAAAGAAGACGCTAGAAAACTAACTCCTTAAACTGTATAGATTAGCAAGCATGTTACTGGGGGCATACAGTATGAATTCATCGTCAAAGCAATATATCTAGCATCACATACCTTATCGATTAGCGACATAAGTATCCAACATTAATCAACTATTTTCATCATAATACTTTTATTTATTTGAATATAATTAAACTGACCCCTTCGTTGGTGTCTCCACCTTATCTTGGTGAGGGGGTTTGAGTATGCCAAGGACCCTGAGAGCTATACTAGTGGTAGCGTAGCTACTGGCAGGGCCTCCCTTGCTGGATAGGTCAAAGGGTAGGCATCAGATGAAGAGAGACACCAAAAACCAAAAAGTGATGATGGAAGCAGCGTCATCAGCAGCGACTTGAAGCACAGAGCAAATGATGCTCGAGATGGTTCAAGTTCGTACAGCAACAGGTGTGACCAGGGTGGTTTGAACGGCTGTTGTGCTGCGACGTGGAAAGCAAATGGAAAAACTACCACATTATCACTTTTCCTGGATAGTCTCTTTCCAAAAACAGAGATACCATGTATGCGAGATATTTTCTCTGGAGACAAAACAAACTGGAGGGGCAGATAGAACTGAGCAGAAGACGGGGAAGAAGACGTAAGAAGATGCTGGATGACTTTGGGGACAGAAGAGGATATTTTTATTTGAAGGAGAAAGCTTGAGATCGCATTAAGTGGAGGAACTGTTTCAGAAGAGACTGTGGACCTGTCGTCTGACAGATTACTGATGAATGAATTAAATTGAGTTCCTCATTATGTAAAATCGTGACTCTGATGGTAGTTCTGTGGTATGTATTGATACGTGGAGCGTAAATGTCACAAGTCTACTTCCATTCTTCCATTACCAGCAATACATGAGGCTAGCTCACACAATTCGTTTCTTCATTATAACAGTCGATGGATTCTCTAAAATTGCATTTCAAGTTCATTTTGTACACATAATTCACATCATACTACAAAAATCAAACATAACATCACATTATAAATTTCATTATCCACTGCAGATATTCTTATTCTGACACTTATCTTTCAACACTGAAGTGAAAGACTGATCAAAAGAAAACTAAGTTCTGTTAAATATAACCTCTGTCTCTCCAGTGCGAGTTATTCACAGATAGTGACTGCTAGTAATTTTTAATTACATGGTGCATTCTTTAAATATCTGTTACAATACAAAATTTAAGGAATCCATATGAAATCATTCCAATATTGCTCAACTACCTTTGTCCATAAAGTTCCAAGACTGATTTAATATCTCAGCTTAGGTAAATGGCAATTCCAGGAAATGTGTTTTAAATACGGGCATTTTATGGCTCACCTGTGTTATTGACGTTAGTTCGCTCGACCTCTGCTAGGCAGCAGGGCAACGTCAATGGTCAGGTGGGAATTTGTGCTGTGAGAAGAAGGAACATTCAATTTGAACAGCAAGTTAACATCAAATTTTGTGTGAAGCTGAGCAAGACAGCCACAGAGACATTGCAGCTTCTGCGTGATGCTTATGGCGATGAAGCTTTATCTCAGGCCTGAGTGTTTGAGTGGCACAGGCGATTCGTGTCAGTGGAGGATGCTACAAGATCAGGCCGGCCTTCGAGTTCCCAGAATGAAAACGTGGTTCGCATCAGAGACATGGTACGGGAAGACCGTACTGTTACAGTTTGCATGTTAGCTGGTGCCCTGAATATCTATAAGTAGACCTACCACCAAATTCTGCAAGAGGACCTGGGTAAACAAAAAGTCAATGCCAGGCTAGTTCCACACACACTCCCTCAGGATCAAAAGGAGGTGCGAGCTTCAGTTTGTGATTTGTTACATGAGGTACAGAATGATTCCACATTTGTCAACAGTATCATTGCCGAGGATGAATCATGGTGTTTCCAGGACGAACCTCAGACGAAGAGGCAAAGCGCTGAATGGCGGTCAAAGTGCTCTCCAGTGTCAAAGAAAGTGAGGCGGCAGCAATCGAAAACAAAGACTATGATAATTGTTTTTCTTTCTGATGCCAGAGGTATCGTTCATCAAAAATATGTTCCACAAGGGCAAACTGTCAACCAAGAATTTTCCATCTCCATACTCAAGCATATATGCGAGGCACTTTGACGTCATCGTCCTGACGTATGGACATCTGGACAGTGGACTTTATTGTATGACAATGCGAGACCACATACTGCTCTAAGTGTCAACAGATCTCTCGCTAAACACGACGTTACTGTGCTTCAACCTCCCCCATACACCCCTGACCTCTCGCCATGAGATTTTTTTTTGTTTCCATGAATGAAAAAAAGAACGCTAAAAGGAAGGTGACATGAGAATATAGAAGCTATTCAAGGGTTGCAACAACACAGGTCTAGGCAACGACTCCAAACAGACAGATTCTTGTGGCAAAGGTCCATGAGCAACAGTGCAGGTATAGCTGGAAATTGTGTTTTCTATGGTGGTCCATGCCAAGGTTTTATAAGGACAACTGGAGCAAGAATTCAGGCAGTTGGGAGCTGCCATTCAGAGGCCTTGGGCATAGAAGCAGAGGAATAACCACTGTTGGAGGCATTACCAGGCAATTACTAGTGAAGACAGTTCATGCTGGAAAACACTTTGTATGTGCTATAGTGATTTGTTAAGTGTGCAGATCAGCAATGGCACTATAATTAAGTGCAGTCACATGTCATGTGTTAAAGTGGTCAATAAATCCAATATCCAAACAAAAACCCCATCTATAGTCACTCATATACGTGATAACATTAACAGGAATGTTCAGGTTAAACCTACCAATCAATATGTAGAATGGTATCACAATGTTGTGAATTGTGTACTTGAAGATGTAGGTGCTCATTTTGAACTGTACAAAAGCTTGTATAAAAATGATGAGACTTTGCAGTGAATTCTAAGTTGATGTTACAGAAGTATAACTAAATAAATAAAGTTTGTGACACAGTATACAGAAATATTTTGTACCTATTAAACAAATATTGTGGTTAAAACTAAAACTTAAAAGAAATTAAGATGAACAAGTAATTTAAACGATTATGCAACAATTGTTGGACAAATTTAATATAACAGTTGAGCATGTTAAAATATAACAATCCTAGCTCAAAAGAAATGGAGATAAAAAATGGGAAGTTACACATTAACATAATATTACAAATTAATGGAAGCATGAGCTAAGTTTATACACTGAAGAATGTATACTCAAGGTATGTGACATATGAAGTGATCATTTAATACTTGGTTGAGCTAAGTGGGGAGTGAAAAATTTTCTAATAATTCTCCATAACTTACCATAGATTCTGTTGGAAATAATACACTGATTGTAAACTCGTAACTACAGAACTGATGAGTACATTCTGTGCTACTATTTCATTACTCTTCTGTTGATTTGTGTTCTTGGGGTGGCTGCATGGCTTGTGTTGTGTAAACGTGGGGTTACATTTAGAAGTTACTTATATCTATGTGCTTGTATAACTAAATACATTTACAATACCGGCACTTATAGCACGAGAACACGTTATCACCATTCCGCATGCGAGCGGGAAAATGCTCAATTTTGAGACGTCTGGTGATCAAAGCAGTGAAAAAACTTTCTGGGCTCTAAATAAAATGTGGTAGATAGTGTACCTAGTGGTTGTATGGGCATAGGTTCATCAATTTTCATAACAGCAGATACTTGCAAAAGGAAAACAAATTATACTGCATAATTAAACAATAACGAAAAAAAAATATATACATTGTGCAATGAAGTTATTCCACGAGTTATTGGCGCCAGTTCCTATCGCTTTATCATCACAAACATCTGGTGACTGGGCTCCAAGGATTAGTGTACAACTGGCGCCACAGCACTTCACACTCTTCTCGAAACTTTGTAATATTACTAAAACTCACCGGTTATGACAAAAATTTTATTCGACCACAGTCTCCACAGTTAATGCATTAAATTGATACTCAATCGCTATTAAAAATACTGACAAAATACGTGCTTACTGACCAACGTATGTATAAACAATTGAAACTTCATTTCTGTATCATGCTACATCCCACTTTTCTTTACCACTCAAGCTCCAGATCACTATCCCCTATGATGCTACCGATCCTACTGTTCAAGATGCATAGACGGCATACTTGTTATGCATCAGCACCATCAGCGGCCATTAATACCGATTAATACGTTCTTATGTTATTACGCTGCCACCTATGATACATAAGCAAAACTACAAGACAAGTAACAATCATTGGCAAGATTTGATGGACTTCTCAACCTAACACAATTCAACCCCCAATTCAAAACAGCTCAATCGCAAAACCTGGAGAACCCACGAATGATTTCTCCAGTCAACTCACTCAGTCATCTTCTATTTCTTGCTTTGCTTCGTCTTCCACCTTGATGATGGATGAATATATATTTCTCTGGCAGTCAGCTTCTGATCTGCTGTTTCAGCATGGCAGATTGTACTCTTCAGTCACCACTGTATTGAATTTAAAATCCAACAAAACACTACTTGCCAATAATTATTTTTCCCATTACGCCTTTACAAAGTCAAACCATAACACAATGAATGTTGTACTTGCTATTTTCATATTTGAACACTGCCTCATTTTCATGGGATTTATTAGCTTATCTTCATGATAGGATTTTGTTCTGCAGCATGGTACTAACATAGTTTCCTCTGTTTACTTCTAACCCAATCTCACTAGCATCTAATTTGTTTTCTCCTCTTCGTGGTATTTATACTTTTCTCAACAAAACTGTCTTCACAGACCAAATCAGACCTCCTTATTGGAATATTCTTAAAGCTAGAGGGCAATTGCAATCAGGCATATTCATGTTTGAGACCATCCTGAAAAGGAATTGTGTCAACAAATCTTTACCTACATGAGTTTGTGTTTTGTTTAAACACGTTTTATTAACTGGCCACTGTCAAGAGGAGCTGGCCCAGCTCAGATCGTACTGTGATGAGCTATGGGCTGGTGTCTGTTCCCCAGCAATGGCAACAGATTTTTCTCTACTCCACAGCATCCAGACTGACTCTGTGGCTACCCAGCCTCCTTTCCAATGAGTCCCAGGGGCTCTTCCCCTGGGGTAAAGCAACAAGGATGTGAAGCTTATCACTCACCTCCATCTAATATCAAGGTCAGCAATGCTAGACCTATCCCTCCACTCACCCACACACATTAATGGTGCAGTACTAGGCTTCTTATCGAGTCTTCAAAACAATGTACTGTTCCAATGCACTCCCATTTTTGTTGCAATATCTGACCAATAGTTATGTTACATTACAACCCACACTGACAAACCCCAATAATTTTGTCTACATATAGAGTTAATCTCTAGAAAGAAATGTTGGATACAATTTTGTATATAGTTCTTATAAGACAGCCTTGACAAACAGTAGTCACGCATTTCTCAAGGCCATTATGTATCAACTACATACGATATATAAGAAAAAACAGTAAGCACCGAACATTTCATAAAATGTTTGATTTCATTATATCAGGACTTGTTCTGTTGACATTTCAATGCACTGAAATGGGGGCCTTAAAAGTTACAAGCATGTAGTGAACACGAAATCAAAGCCTGAAGACAATATTACAACCCAAGTTTTAAGAGAGTTCATCATATTTCAGGTGGAAATTTAAACAATCATCTTTAGTCCACATGGATCAATACTGGGACTTTCTACTTTCTACTCTATATCAATGACCTACCAAAATCAATAAAGGACAATGCTGAAGTTGTTTTATTTGTGGATGATACCACTATAATTGTTAACAGTCCTAATCAGATAAAATTTTAAAATACTGTTAATAAAGTTTTCCAAGATATAAATAGATGGTTCACTACTAATTTGTCATTAAATGTCAATAAGACTCAATTTATGCAATTTGTAACTAAGACTTGCTCCTTTCTTGACCTAAATGTAATTCATAGGAACAAGAAAATAGTTAATATTCATAATACTAAATTTCTTGGATTAACTTACTTTCTCTTGGAAGATTCATATAGATACAGCTAAGTTCAGCCTGCTATGCGATTAGAACAGTTAAGCCTCTCTTGTCCCAGGAATCTTTGAAGATGGTGTATTGTTCTTACTTTCACTTGATTATGACTTATGGACTAATATTTTGGGGAAGCTCTTCCCATAGTAACATAATTTTTAGGTTACAAAAGAAAACTATTAGAATTATTATGGGGATTAGAAATAAAGAGTCATGCAGAAAATATTTCAGATAACTAAAAATATTACCACTAAAATCTCAATACATATATTCACTTTCACTGTTTGTGATCAACAACAGACATCATTTCAAAGTGAATTCTGAGATTCAAAGTAGTAATACTAGGACCAAATCTGACTTGCATCACCCTTTGACTCATCTGTCAGTCTTTCAGAAGGGAATTTATTATGCTGGGATTAAGGTGCTGCAATACCTGCTTACCTGTTGCAATAAAAAATTGGTCCCATAATACAAAACAATTTAAATTTGAATTGAAAAATTTCCTGTATTCCCATTCATTTTATACGTTGGATGAGTATTTTAAATATAGGACGAATTGAACCTTTTATAATGCTGTTTATATGGTATAATGTATAAGACATTCATTTCATACTTGTATACGTGTTTCCAAAATGTGAGCTTAGTAAGGTGCTGATAAATTGCTCATGTTGAATTGTCTTATTAGTGTTCTTTTAAGAATGTGACTATACAAGGATTGGTTTTGTTTTCAGAACTATCATATATATATACGTAGGTGTGATATGTTTTATACCATATGGCTGTTAATTGTATGGTTGATGAATTATGCATGTTTGTTGAATTGCTAATGTTTATTTGTTCTTTTGTAAATGCAACTATAAAAGGACTAGTTATAGTTCTCAGAAAGATCAGATATGCAGTGCTTGAGGTGGAATGAAAATAGAACCTGGATGGTTTTCCCCTTTTAACAAAAAAGGTATTGTACATTGCATTTACTGCCAAAGAAGTATCGGGATGCTTTTAAGCCATTTAGAAAAGAACCGGGATGCCATCCCGCCGCATCCCACCCCACCTCAAGCCCTGTATATATGACATGTATTTTAAACACAAGATGAACTAACCTCTCATATGGCATATTACATAAAAATTTCAATTAATATTTGTTAATATATCCTAGGCTAGGATCTTGGTAAGGTATTACCAATGGCTGCACCATAACTCAAGTGGTTAGTTGCTGGCTTCCCACTGTGGCGGCCCAGGTTCGATCCCGAGTCTGGTCACGTGGGATCTGTGGTGAACAAAGTGGCCGTGGGGCAGGTTTTCTCAGAGTACTTCGGTTTCCCCTGCCAATCTTCATTCCACCAATTGCTCCACAATCACCCTCACCTATCATTTGGGGCAGGTATGATAGGCCAGAAGTGGCCGCAGTACAAGGGACTTAGTCCCATCCCACTAGCAATAAAAAAAAAGGTATTACTATCTAGTCAATGAATTCTACATGTGTGTCAAATTACTGAATTATGTATAATAACTGTATCTTTTTTGAATGTTGTTGTAAGATGACTGGTTCTGTTTCCGGAACTAATATATGCATGTGACGTGTTTTATATCTGATGGCTTAAAAATATATAAATTTGGGATATAGGGGGTCTTTTGGTTATTGAATTGTTGCAAGTGGGATGTTGTACTGTATAACTGTGATGTGTATGAAATCTGTAGGTAAAGTTTTATAGTATAGTTGACTCATGTACAATATGTAAAAAAATTACTTGGTCTATAACTGGAGGGGGGGCATGCGGTAGTGTAGTTGGTTGAGGCACTATGCTACAAGCCGGAAGGTTGCAGGTTCATCCTGACGAGGTCATTGGATTTTTTCAATTGACCTAATCCTTCCAGCCGCACTATGGCCCTGGGGTCAACTCAGCCTCTAACAGAAATGAGTACCAGGAATTAATTAAATAATTTTCCTGGGGAGTAAAGTGTGGCCGGCTTGTAAGGCTGACAACCTTACCGCCATCTTTGAGCCGATTGTCTAGATAATGTGGGACCCTCAACATCTCACAACCCTATGGGCCTTCATGGCCTCTTACATGGATAGCTTTACTTTTTTTTTTACTATATCCGGAGGTTGTATGACCAAATATGGATTATTGGAACAAATAAATTGATTGATTGAGTAAAGATCTTCCAGTTTAAAACATACAACATCTAGAAAAGTATAGAAAAAATGCATGCAAATGCTACTCTCAAATGAGCCCATCAATGAAAATCTGAAGTATTGTGTGTTGCACTTAATGATGCTGTATCACTTGCAGACGTCACAGGGAACTAGTGAAATGAAAGGACTAATATTAAAATGTTGAAGAACTTAGAAATGGCCTATTTTAAGATTCAGTACTTGCCTGTATGTGAAGGGGGGGGGGGGGAAAAAATTACAGAGAAGGCTCNAAGGCTCTGCTGTGACAGACAGTTTCCTGGCCGAGATGCAGAACAGGACTGATACCCACTGCACCATGATATTCAACAGATCTGATTAATGTACGATGAGCTTAATGCAAATAACCTCTGTAGTTAACACAGCCAAGGTGGGAAGGCAGCTTCCTACTTCTAGCCAGCAGCAAAGCAGGTAACTGAATTTGTCCCCATAAGATTTGAAAGCACATAATTCATTTATTTATTTCCCGTTAGCTGTCAGCAGCTGATAGCTGTACAAAAAGCTGACATGTTATGCATGTTGTGACAAAAAAGGATCTTAATCAGCTACACAGGAACAAAGAAAATGGATATTTAAAAGAAAAATTACTTCATCTTTCTAAGCATGTGGTGGCAAGGAGATTGGTTTGTCAACAATAATGACATTTAGAAGAATCACCTTTTCAAACACTAGTAGATTTGTTACAAGATAAGCATTGAAATTTTGAACAAAATCTGCTAGACAGGAAGTTCAGACATATATTTCAGCATGTACTGCTGTGAACTGGCTGGCTGGTGCAGATAGATCAGCACCATGGTACCAAGATATATGAAGTGCATCTCAGCAATGAAACATGCCATTTCAACAACATTAATTGATTATGTTGCATAATTTTGTTATGAGGGTACTGCCAACACCAGACTTAATACAAATAGAAAATAATTTTATCTTCTTATGTAAATATTTAAATACCATTCATCTTAAATTAGCATGTTAAAAAACAATGTCACGCATATTCCATTACACCACCACTATTATTAATAAATTAAATAATATATTAAAAAACACCAAGAATACCTACTGAAGAACTTTGAGTCATCACAGCTTCAGGACTGCAAAACTGTGCTTTGGTAAAGTATGTATTGTCAAAATATGAAGAGTGCAAACAATCTACATGGAGACATGTCAATTTTAAAATTCACATTAACAGTTGCATAAATTAATCTTTATATACTTTCAAAGCTTTTTGTTTTCTATTCTGCATGTGCTGCAGGTACATATCTATTTGTGTTCTCAAATATTAACAAATGAAAAATAAAATAAAAATATATTTACTAATATACTTCATATTTGTGCAGGGAAAATAAATGGTAATAAATACATGACAATGGAAACACTCAACATACCCATATATGAATTCTTTTAACATTTAATTTGCTTCCAGAACAGTGCAGGTAATCTAGATTGATGATTGATGTCAAAGTAGTGTCTGCATCAACTGGACAGGTGAGGTGGCTCCAATTATTGCACTTCAGTTTGCTTCAGATGTGTTTCTTTGATGGCATAAACACAAGCATTTGAGTAATACAGTTCTTACTACAGATCCAAACATTCCATCACGGAACTTTCAATATGCAGACCAAACTTCCCCAGATCTTTGTATCTGAACTGAGTTCATGATAAAAACAATGTTATGTAGCCCCCTTATATTTGATAGGTGGAATACCTGCAGTTAGGCAATTGGCAAATCATAACCATCAATCTTCCTCATAAATTAAACAATTTTAAACCTGCTGTATACTTGTATTATGGGCCTGGAAACTTCTCATCCTTCCTTTCAGTTAACATCAGTTATCCAACAGGGATATTAATTCATTCTTATAGGGAATGAGGTTGTTAGAATTCCATGTGCAAGAAACACAAAAAATACACAACTTAAGGTGTACAACAACTCCTGTCCAAACCCACAGCTCTCTCTCTTTCCATAAATGAGATGTATGAAGATGACAAAACTAGTATATGTACAAACAAAAGATACAATCTGTAGTCAATTATGAAAGCACACAAGGCAGAAGTAAACTAGCACCTTGGCTCTGACAATATGCATATTTGTTAATTCAAATTATTATCCAACATGGTGACAATTCATAAATATGATACCAAAAAACTGCATTTACTAAACAAAAACAACATTTTAAATTACAAACTTCTTCAAATATTTTTGAAATATGGTATAAATACTCTTTTGGTTATAATGAAACTATGTAACACTGACATAATTATATTTTAACGATTTACAATAACTTAGGAGTTAAAGCAAATCACCTATGTCTCCTTGTAAAGTCCACAATGGAATGTCAACAACTAGAGTACAGGAAAACTATAACAGAATTATTTAAACTTTCATTATTAATACAGTAACTCACCAGACATCAATAATATTAAACCTGCATGTAGTTATCACCAAATACTTTCTCTTCAGTTCTTGTTAAGATCTTTCAATTGGTCAATACATATTTAAACATGAAGTGCAGAAACATTATGATACAGTGCAAGCAGTTACTGTCTCAATCTACAACACAACATTCTCACCAAAGCTAAAATGTGACATTTCACTACAGCATAGAATTTGTAACATTTATACCATAATAGTACTATTGTCTTGTTACAATTAACATTTAACATGTTACTTTTTATACATACCACTTTATGAATCTGTTCAACATATATATATATAGATCACATTTATAATACAATGTCTGCCTGTGACAGATTGATAAATGCGTCACTCCGCCAGTCCTACCATAAATTACAACCCATATCCACGTATTTTATTAGTAATTCTTATCCCTTGTTTCCTACTATGAAGGGAGTACAGGCATCGCAGAAGGCACAGGCATCAAATTAAATAGCCTATTCTCTTCCACTCAAAGAAGATCAACATAAGACATTAGGGGGGTAACATGTATAGAACAGTTACTCAATAGATGATAATACAAATAAATGCAATTGTAAGACTTGCTGATATTCTGACTGAGCCAAACCCTTTCACACAACAAATATAAACGAAGACTAACAGGCATTCACTTCTAAGTAAAATGAAAATTCTGTGTGTATTGCTGTCAAGAATAATATTTCTATATATAATTTATACAGTTAAATATTTGGCCAACTTATTTTCCATAAATTTGATTTTCCAGATGAAATCACACAGACTTAATAATATCACTAATTCAAATGCAACAAGCATCAGTTACCACCTCTCTGTCAAAGCAGCAGTACCCTTCCACAGTTAAAACAGATCATTTATTACATTTTCCCTTACAGGATGGCTCTTGCTATAGCAGCTATATTTGACATTGATATTGCAGTACAAATCCTTGCACTTTATATTACATGGTAATTCAAGTTTGCACAGCACCAGACTTATCTAGCAAAGTGAATATGGAATCACATACTACTACAACAACACAAGATAATATCACCAATGAGTCACTACTGCAGCTGAAGACTGATGGAGAAACATCAATTGAACAGAACACATATTTTGCTTATTTAAATGTTTTTCTCCACCCTTATCAACACTTTCTGGACCAATGCTCTGCCACCATCTATCACATGCAGCTGATCACTGTACTGGTTTTGTTATAGTTTAGACAGAGAGAGCCATAAAATATTTTCCGTGAGGACATAATATATTTTGTGCAACAATGATTTTATTTTTTACTTTCTAACATAACACTTTGTCTTCATAAATTTACAGACAGCAAAAACAAAATAAACCCTGTAATGTAACAATCAAAACTGCAGTTTTAAGGGTATAAAGTCAATACTGTTAAACTTACAGAAAAAATGTATCTTTCCTCATGATTACAAGCAAAACAACAGAATGAAAATAATATACCACTTCAATGCTGTATATTCAAATTAAATGGCAAATCAAAAGGTCTATAGCAGAACATGGCTGGATGGACTTTGCTGAATGATATCTACAGCACATCCTCTGCTAGAACAAGAAAGACTACTCATATAACCAAACATTCTGACTCAAGGGACTGAACACAAAAGTATGACCTATCCTCCAGAACATGCTTAATTCAGATATTTCCCTATAAACCTGCCAACAACACTTTCATCAGTAAGCACTACAGCCATGAGACAAAAATATTACATGACACAGCCTTGGACTTTTTTCTTTTCAAGGTGGAACTCTGTATGTTACAAGGAAGGGTAAACTCTTTTACTCATGGAAACACACTGCTAGTCACTTTCCACTGTCTGACTACTCTGTAGAATATTTTAATATCATTATGTAAACATTGGAGGCATTTTTTCAGTATTTACAAATGGTGGCCTCAATTCCATTTTAAGTCCTGAAAAGAGAAAAAGAGAGATATTACTCTTTTGCAATTAACATTCGTGCATCATCCACTGTATCCCAGTATGGGCCAAAGAGCTAACTCATGTTTCTCTTTAGGCAATACATTCATGGAGCTAATGCCATCAGTGAGTCTGGCCAATGTAATATGATTCACTTGGTCTTAACCATGACTGCCAAGCCATGTGATATGCCAAATGAAGATGGAAAAGGTTAACTGGATAATGTAACTATAACATGGCAAAAGTTCAAGAGCTTGTAATCTAATTCGACAGCAAAAATGTAACGTCTTGCAACAGGTACAGGTAAACCTCGAAGTTTCCTTCATAACACTAGTAACTTCCTACCAGACTATGGTATAATATCCCAGAAGAGAGTGTTCTTCAAATTCACCATCTGATTTTTATATTACCCACCGCATTCACCAAGCAATGGAAATTTCGGTATAAGTTTCACATTCCACTTTGGTCTAATATGGCTAAAAGAAATATAAATTATAATGGTGGTGATCAGGGGCGGCCCGTGTATAGGCACTGCGGAACTGCAGCACCCCCAGTTTCCACTTGATATTATTGATAACATTTATACAGGGTGTCCCAGGAGGAATGGACAAAACTTCGGGAGGGTGTTCCTTATGTTAAAGTATGCCGATATAACCCAAAACACCTATGTCCAAAGTTGAACGGTTACGGAGATAATGGCCCGAGAAAAGTGTGGTCTTCTTGCAGGTCCACGCACTGTGGACAGTCAGCTGTGACTGTTATCTGTTTGTACTTGAGTGTGGTGATGTCACACTAGCCGTGATCTCATGCGCAACCTACCAGAGCCTACACAGTACGTTGCGG